AGACTGGACGGGATCACTTCCGGTGGGGAAAGTCCCACCTCTCCGAGGGAGCCGGGTGGCGCTGGGGCCGCGCCCTGCTGAGCTAGCGAGCCGGCCCGGAAGGTCTCGGGTCCGGGCTACAGCCTAGGAGGGGGCCTCCTGGAGAACCTCCAGCGTTCGGCCTTTCCCCCCTGCGGCGGCTGCTGACCGTCCCACCCCCAGGCCCCCTGAAGTCCCCGCGCTTCTCCGAGACCCCCCAGCTGAGTCGAAGGACTTCTCGATCCGCTCCTTGGCCCGCGCAGGACAGCCGGCTAATACTGTATTTACCAATCAAGGGACCCGGGAACGCCAGTCACTCCTGCATTGGAAGTTACCTGGGCAATAAAGCAGCCTAGGAAGTTTATTCTCTTTGCGGGTATTTCTTCCCCTTGATATTTTTCTAGGAAATGCATGCAAACTACCGTTGGACTTTGTGATTGCTCTGATGTGCTAAGTGGTGTCTTTTATTCAGCCATGCCTGATAAACACACACACAGTACTTTTATCATCTGGCAAATGTGCCTTGACCCTATCAGCAAACACCAAAGTCAGTCCTTTTTAAAAAATCCCAAAGCTTGAAAGTAAGAGCATTAGAAATAGACTTTATGGTAGTCTATCCATACTCAGTTTTGTCCCTATTTGATTCCGACCACTACATGGAAGCAGAGGTGATGTTCAAAGAAGAGTTGATTGGAAATAGTTTAGGCCTACAGACTTCTTTTAAAAAAAGACTGATTATCTGCATGCATACCAATTTGCATGGCTGGGTCCTCCATATCAAGTTTTGTTTTAAAGGCCTTGCTTCATAGTGGTTGAAATTTGAAAGCAAATAACTCCAGTGTTAAACACTACGTTTCTATTTTTAGATAAAATTTTTACTTCTTACATATCTTTGCCTTTGCTAACTTTCTATTTGTAAACTTTGTGTCAGATCCACAGGGTCCGAGACCCAGAGGCCAGGCTGTATTTTAGGCATATCTCTCACTATCTTTTTGACTCAAGCATGCACCCAGAAACCCTAGAGACTTGCAAGCCTTAATGGCCAACCTGTATCAAAGAATATCATACAACTCAAATTGTTAGACATGAACACAATATATTACTGTAGTATAATATACTTTTAACAGTAGGGTGAAGTCCCACAGTCCATCCCTGGGTATTCCCCAATGTCACTTACAGTATTCAAAGGGCAGCCTAGTTTAATTTCTCCTGGGCCTCAGGCTGGTGCGGTCTCTCTAGCGAAGTCCCCAGCTCTAGTTCCAGCTGGCCCTGGGTCCAGCCTGATATCTGAGGCACTGCCCTCTGCTGGAAGAAGTTTGATCTATGAGTTATGAGTCTCCCCATACGTCATACTGCTCCTTCCATGCATGCCGTTGCCGAGTTTGGGTTTCTGCTGCACATCTCCCTCTAGCTGTCTCTAGACTGTCGTGGAATCCACAGCCCTTCAGCAGCCATGCTTGTAACTGAGTCTGGAAACTCTTCTTCTGATCCAACCAGTGTTGAGCAATCCTGCTTTTGTCCCAACTGTTGGCAGCTGTAATATCTCTGAATGTGTTGACTGTGTTTTGAAGAGAGGTCTTTGTGTTTTTCACACAATGAAACATACCCCTATCCTCAGTACTAAGTTCTGTTGGGTCACTCTCATCAACCACAGGCTGACAAATGTCACACTCAGCCTGAAGATACCTCTAAAGTTTCATAGGAAGGGTATTCACTACAGCTTTGCTTAAGCAAGTGAACAATTGACAGCCAGCATGTGGCCTGGAGATTAAGGAAGCTGGACCTCACATGGCTGACTGAACCCTTCCAGTCCCAGAGCTGGTGGCTCGAAAAAACACACTGGGCATGAGTGTGTGGATGCCCGAAATCCTGAGAGGAGAATGGAGGAAAAGAGAAGGTTGTGTAGTCATTTCCCCTGAGAGGGGGTGCTTTTTCACTCCAACCCCTCTGTCTCTGATGAGACATTAAAAAAAAAAGAAGAAGAAAAAGAAAGCTAACAATAGAAAGTTGGTTAGATATCATTTAATAGGTGATTTAAAAAATTATATACAGGGACCAGTAGTTAGCGCAATGGCTATGTTGCTGGACTCCCATGTAGTGGTTTGAGTCCTGGACCTAGTGGCTTAAACTCACGCCGGGCACATGTGCGTGTGTGCCCAAGATCCCAAGAGGAGAAGGGATTGCAGCATGGCCGTCCTCCCTGGGGTGGGGGTGGGGGGAGGTGATTTCTCACTTTCTGTCTCTCTGTCTCTCTCTGTCTTTCTGGTGAGCACACACGTCCTATAGCAAAAACCTCTCAAAAAATTATATACATACATATTGGTAAAATGGAATACTACGCAGCTATTTAAAAGAGAAAAGTAGATTTGTAAGTGCTGTGATCAAAAGATGCACATTGGGGCTGCACAGTGGCACAACAGTAAAACACCATACTCTGCATTAGTAGAGTGGGAAGGTTCCAGGCTCCCATCCAGAGACTTTCCTGAGTACACTGGCCACACACATGCCCATGAACTGGGGATTCTACTGTATCTTTCTCTCATGAACAAAATAATCCAACCAAACAAATAAGTTGATCAAGACACAAGGGGTGCAAAAATAAGACACTGAACAAATGTATAGGTATTCCCATTTACATAAAATATCTTAGTGTATGCATTAGTCATACAGCAATTCAAATCTCAAAGTCATTAATTATGAAAGGGTTATTATGAAAGGGTTACATTTCTCATATCTGTTTAATTTTTAAACAATGATTAGATACTAGTATAGGATAGGGAGTTAATACCTCTTTATAATTTTTTTTTTTGAAGAGGTTTTCACTATAGGGCGCGTGCACTCACCAGACAGACAGAGAGAGACAGAGAGACAGAAAGCAAGAAATCACCCCCCAGGGGGGATGGTCACGCCGCAATCCCTTCTCCTCCATTCTCATCTCGGGATCCTGGGCACGCACGCACATGTGCCTGGCATGAGTTTTAAGCCACCAGGTCTGGGACGCGAACCGCGGTTGACTACGTGGGAGTCCAGCGCCATAGCCATTACATTAACTGCTGGTTCCCAATATTTTTGAGAGATTTTTGCTATAGGCATGCGTGCTCACCAGAGACAGACAGGCAGAAAGTGAGGAATCACCCCCCTGGGGTGATGAGCATGACACAATCCCTTCTCCTCCATTATCCTCTCAGGATTTTGAACACACACACACACACACACACACACACACACACGCTCAACATGAGTTTTAAGCTTCCAGGTCTGGGACTTGAACTATGGTTAGCCATGTGGGAGTCCAGCACCTTAACCACTACTCCACCTGCTGGCCCCACTTTATAATATTTTTAAGAGAGGAACAAAAGAAAGGTGTTGACTACCACTCATCAAAAAACAATATGCTTACTGTCTAGGGTTTGGCAAACAAGTGTTTGGCCTGGTGAGTGAAGGTTAGGACTCAGAGATGAGTAAGACCTACATTTAAATTGCAGCTTCCTCAGCTTCTAGTGTGGGTCCTCAGGCAAATGATTTTTCCTTTCTGAGCCTGTAACTCCTCACCTGTAAAAAGGAGATAAGAATTTAATATGAGAATGTAATGAAGTATCACAGGCAGTGCTTAGCAACACTCCACAGCACATTTTGTAGTCTTAATAAATGCTACCTATTTCATTTGTACTTAAAAGAAGATTTAATGAAGGATTTAGTTCTGTTTATTTAGATAGAGAAAATAGTGGGACCAGCAGGTGGCGTGGTGATTGAGGGCACTGGACTCTCACTTGGCAGACAATGTTCGAGTCCCGGACCTGGTGGCTTGCTTTCTCGCTCCTCCACCTTTTGTCCCTCTCTGGTCAAATTTAAAAATTAATTAAGTAAGTAAGTTAAGTAAAATAATTCTTTAAAAAATAAATAAAAATAGAGAACATAGGGAGTAGAACAAAAATGTAAAAGCCCAAATATCTCTAAATGGCACAAAAATAATTCAGTTACTCTTGCCAAAGATATTATCATTAAAAGTTTCTTTTGTGGATCAGCAGATGGTGTAACGGTTACATTGCTGGACTCCCATGTAGTTGACTACGGTTCAAGTCCTGGACCCAGCAACCTAAATCTCACACTGGGTGCTTGTGTGTGCATTCTCAAAATCCAAGAGGAGAAGGGATTGTGGGGTGGCCATCTTCCCTAGAGGGTAATTTCTCCCTTTCTCTCTGGTGAGAGCACATGCCCTATAGCAAAATAAAAATCTCTCTAAAAAAAAAATGTTTCCTTTTAGGGAAAAATTATTTACATTTTATATGTCTCTATTTCTATCAATTCACTTTTTTTTTCTGCCAGAGTGCATACATATGCCAGAGAGAGACAGAGAGTTAGAAAGAGGGAGAGGCCACATGGGAATCCAGTCTCTTAATTACTACGCCCCCTGCTAGTCCCACTTTATAATATTTTAAAGGGAGGAACAACATGAGCTGTGGTCATGCTGCAATCTCTTCTTGTCTCTCTCCATCCTGTCAGAATTTAGGGCACTGATGCACATGTAGATGGTGTGTTTTTCAAGCCACCAGGGCTGAGATTTGCACAGTGATCAGTCATGTGGAATCTGATTCCCTACCACTAGGGCCATGGGCTGACCCCAATAAACCTTTTTTTTTTAAAAAAAAAAAAAAAAAGCTTATTTTTTTCTTTTATGAGCAAGAGAGGGAGGGAGAGAGAGATGGGTACCTTCAACAGGGTCTCACTACATTGCCATCTTTTCTAGCCAACTCTCCAGCCAGCCCCATGGGTACACCCAGTGTTTTCAAGTGTACCTGGAATCTGAACCCAGGGCCTCTCACATGCCTTCCAGTATTGTGATGCAGCAGCCTAGTGTGGGCACCACTGCAGCTAGGCCTATTAATTCATCTCTCTCTCTCTCTCTGTATGTATATATGCATATACACAATATACATATATATTATTTCTTAACAAAAATAATCATACTATACATACTGTCCTGCACTTTGCTTTTTTCACTTACTAGATATTGATGATTTTTCCATTTCAGAACATAAATATCTCCTTTATTTGTTTTTTTCATGGTTGTGCCCTAATTTAGTTATCCAGCTCACCATTGGAGGACACTGGTTGCATCTAGTTGTTTGCACTGAATGGCTCACACATATATCACTGCTAGTTAAACTTAGGGTGAATTACTAGTACTTCAATAGCTGACACAAAGGGTATTTGCACTTAACAGTCTTCTGGTAAATATTGCCAGATTGTCCTTCAGAAAGGTCACACCTATTCACATTCCCACGAAAGTAGTATGACTCCATCACTTTCTTTACAACCTCACTCTAAGTATTACAATTTTAGCATTTCATGACTATCGTTAGTTGCTCTAGGGTATTTGCAGGAATAACACATGCAGAGTAGTGTTTTAGAAGGAATTCGAGCTTCAGAGTCAGACAGTTCTAACACCGCCCTTTGCTAGCTATACCTCCATTCCCTCATTTAGAAATTTAAGAATAATAGTGGTATATCTAACTCATAGAAGAGTAGATGAGACAACCCATTCAAAACCTTTCATCGCTAACTGTTCAAGAAATGCAGACTGTTTAAATACTAATTTTTCACACCCAAGACAAAAAATAGGAAGAGGAGGGTGGGGAACTTCTCCAGAGATCATGCCCTTGAGATTCAGAACTTCTACTTTAACTCTGTATCAATCTCCTCTCCAATGTAACTGCTGCTCATTTTCAAGAACACAAACACTTTTCTTTTTTTGGAGAGGTTTTTGCTATAGGGCACGTGCGCTCACCAGAAACAGAGAGACAGAGAGATAGAAAGCGAGAAATCATCCCCCGGGGTGATGTCCATGCTGCAATCCCTTCTCCTCCATTCTCCTCTTGGGATCTTGGGCATGCACGCACACACGCCTGGTGTGAGTTTAAGCCACCAGGTCCAGAACTTGAACCACGGTCAGCTACATGGGAGTTCAGCGACATAGCCATTACACTAACTGCTGGTCCCAAACACAACCAATTTTTAACATAGTTTGAAAAAAATGTTACTGTATAAACTATTAGGTCATTGAGGAGGTTATGACACATTTTTGCATGGAAAAACATAGAAAAATATGTCATGACTTTCCTGATGATGTAATATATGCAGAATATGTAAATTATTGGTACATAATCTCATTTTATGAAACTAGCTTGGCACGAGTTTAAAGTACTAGTCTGTTTCTGGCACCAGTTGCTCACTTCCCTAATCTCCTCTTCCTTTCTTCAAATTGATACCTCCTTCAGCTGCTGTCTTGGAGTCATTAACTATTCAAGATAATTTACCCTCACTTCCACTTTCCACATGAGCCCTCTTGACTTCTAGGGCCTTGGGAAAAGCCAAGCCTTTTTCTAGCCATGCTCTAGCTTTCTCTTCTCTTCTGCTTGAAGTTGCCCTTGAGTTATCAGAAAGCTTGAGTCAGCAGCATCTTGAGCCTTTGTCTACCTCTAAAGGGTGTCCTCTTCTCTTATTTCAATGCTTTGGGAGCCCCTGTTATTGGTTAGATTGTCCTGGGTTCTTTCCAGCTCCTTCTGTCCTCTAAGGTGCCAGTCTTTCAAATTCTGCCTCCAGCTACACCAACCATTGGTTCTGCATGTCAGTCTTCCAGGTACACAGAAACAACTTTATACACTTTTCTCATTATAAAAATAATAATGTTTCTTGCAAATAGATCGTACTACCCATAGAAAAATCATCATTAATATTTAAGTGTCTTTCACTACTTTTTCCTTTGACAGTTGAGCAATATTTTTTTGAACTAAAAATGAGGTCACAATTTTGCAAGCAACTTCTTTCACTTACTGGAACATCATGTCTGCATAAAGTGTTGAAAACACTCATGTAATCCTCATCGCCTACTGGAGTGAGTCTTTCTTCCTGTAGCTTTTGTTTTCCTACAACCTCACTTAATATTAATCACTTTCTGTGACCAGCAGGTGTCATCGTGGTCTGGACACTGGACTTCCACATGGCTGACCACAGTTCAAGTCCCAGGACTGGGTGCTTGAGTGTCACACCAGGTGCATGTGTGCGCATGCCCAAAATCCCAGGAGGAGAATGAAGGCTGCAGAATGGCCATCCCTTCTAGGGCATGACTTCTCACTTTCTCTCTCACTGTCTCTTTCTGTCTCTCTCCCCTCTTGCGAGCATATGTGCCCTATTGAAAAAAACCTTAAAAAAACATTTAATCACTTTCATCCCTGCCTACCTAGAATTCTTCATCCAACCAACCAATGCAATTTCATGGGAGGGGCTGCATTCCACAGAGGCCACTGAGACTTCAGTCTGGCTAGACAAGCTTTCCTACAAGGGGACTTCAAAAAGTTCATGGAGAAAAGGCATTAAAGTAGGAATTTGTTTTGGTGCGCAAAGAATGGAAACCATCCATAACTTTTTCGTAATAGGCATTTTCCACAAGCTTTTGGAAGACCCATCCTCTGAGAGACACACATCTTATTTTCCCGGTACGACAGACCAGAACTCAGAGGCCTCTTAAATAGGAATGAATCTAAAACAGATCTGAACTCCTTAATCATATCCTCCTTTCCATTTCATTTTTATTTTCAAACACAGTAGTTAGGAAAGCATTTTGTAGTTCATTAAGTACCAAGTAAATTTAAGAAATTAGTATCAATACTAACTATATCTCTAATTCGGGTACACCAGAATCACTGGTAGGTGATTAATATGCAGATAGTTGGGCCCCATCCCCAGAGATTCTGATTCATAGGAATAGGGTTGGGCTGGTAATTTGCATTTCCAAGTTCCCAGGTGCCAATTCTTGCTGCTGGCCCAGGGGCCTTGCTTGTAGAACCACTATTTTCAAAAGCAGTAGGACTGTATTTTCACCTTCTCCTATTGATATTCATTTTTTTATCCACTCATTCATTCATCACGTATTTTAAAAACTTTACTCTGAGCTATTCACTTTGCTAGCACTTTTTTTAAAAAAGAATTATTTATTTAATTTTATTTATAATTTTTATTATTTTTAAGTTTACGCAGGGCACATGTGCCCAGGAGAGAAAGAGAGAGAGAGAGAGAGAGAGAATGTGAGACGTGAACCACAGTCGGCCATCTAGAAGTCTAGTGTCTCAACCGCCACGCCACCTGCTGGCCCCTTGCTAGCACATTAGGAGGACTACAGATAATCACATCAGCATTGACACAACAGCTGGCTGGTACTATAGGAGAGAGACTCAAGAAGGGTATCAGGAAAGGTTTCTTGGAGAAGGTAATTGGGTGATGGAAAAGGAGGCCAGAGGGGTGGGTAGAGGCTAAAGACCTCAAGAAAAGCTTTGTGTAGTAAGCTAAGGGTTTTCACCTTTGCCTTAAAGGTTTTAGGAAGCTATGAAAAGTGCTTTTACAAAGGTCGGTAGCACTAAGGCATCCAGGCCAGGTTCGATTATATGCCAGGCATTGTGCAAAGTTATTTACACATATCATTTAATCTACTCCTGGGAATGACCTTAAAAGTCAGGTATTACTATTATTATCCCCAATTTTATAAATGAAAGTAT